ATTAAATGGTTATTAATACAATGAATTATTATATTCACTTTCGTACACCTTTCTATAAAACTCTAATGGAACTGAATCATTTCAATACCAGTTGATATGGTATATACTCATGCCCTTGGAAAAAGATATGAATAGATGTTTCCTCATCAACAGATATTTTTACTAATGTCTCAACAATGGCAAGCTATAATGAATGACCCAGAACTCATGACAGGTCAGAGATTATTCCCTGTTACGTAATACCACCTGTCTTGTATTACTTGAGGACATGTTGGCAATTTTCCTAATTTAGAAACTCTCTGAAGGCTTTGACATGATCTGATACTCTAGATCCTGGAACCAACAAGGATGAGATATATATATATACTAAACAAGGAAGTAAAAAAACAAAAACAACAATTATCTTAAATACACTGTCAAATTTTATTATAAAAGTCAGTTTTCACAAAAATTGATATGAACTTATGTTGGTAACATTTTCAGGGTATATATATATGTATATGAACAATATATTGAATTTCATCATGATATGTAACTGCATTAAAGTTATAACTTGTTTGGGTTTATTTTTATGTACACAAATTAAGTTTGACACATTTTTATGAATAAATCCAAAAGATATAGGCTATAGAAACAGCTATTTCATAAACATAATATCCCATATGCTTGAATAAACTATTGTTTTTGAATTAATATCTGCAGGGAATGGAGTCCATTCCATTACTTTGATATCTTTTAAACCAGTGAAAATTTCAGTGGGAGAATTGGGGCCACAGATAGGTAGACTCAAAATGTTAACTTTCAAATGCCCCAAGGAAGCACAACCTGGTCCGTGTAACTGAGAGGTCATGCTGGGTTTTATTTCCGCTAGCTCTTGTTTTTTTACCACTACAAAAATAATCCATGTAAATGTATACATACTAATAGGGAAAAGAATGAAGATTTTTCAATAATCTATGCATATTATTTGGAATGCACCTTTTGAGTCCAACAATCTTGGAAAGTGTGGGGAATGACATCCTGACTCATGGTGAAAAGGGTGCATCAAGCAAGATAGGTTGAGAACCACTGTTTTGTGGGCAATAGTCAGCTTTGTAAGTGAAAGAGACTTATTTTTCATGAATATACTCGTCAACTTAGTCTCTTGGTCGTGACCTGCATCACTGAAAAACCATTGTCCAAAAACTTACAACAATTTTCTGTATTAATTTTGATGCCATTGTCAACTTTTGAAGAGACCTATAATTTTACTGATGAGAATACTAGCTCAGACATTGTTCCACTTTCCCCTCATTTGTCATCAAAGTTTTGGTTGGCAATGTTCCTGAAGGAACCAACCTCTAATCTACTCATCAGGTCCACCAATGGTAGCTCTGTATTCAGCACTAAACATTACTGTTGAAAAATTAATTTACTGTGCCTAACTTTTTGTTAGTTTGGTTGCTTTCATGTCCTCAGCCAATTTTTTTTTTTTTTTTAATATTCTGCATCTTTTCTCTACATTTACATTTACCATATCAGCTTCTTCAAATATTTTCACTTTTCTTGGTTATTACTGATCTAATTTTTCTCAAATCTCTTTTTTCTGTCAGTCTTAACCTTATCATTCTGCATGTGCAAAAAGTTTATCCTGCCGCTCAAGGTGGCCCTGATCCCTGAAGAATAGTGTGTTTGAATTTCATAGTTGTGTTGTCATATCCTGCTATGGCAACAGAAAACAACTTTGAGTGAAATTAACAATAAAGTTACTGTAATTGAGAGTCCTTGAAAAAGAATGCACTGGAAAGGGAAGAAATATTAATAATGCAGAGTGCTGAAGGTTAAAGCTATATTTCCCAATGTTTTCAATTTCTTTTTTGATTAAGTTTATTTTGCAAAGAAAAGTTGTTGCATTCCTATTACTCAATATCTTTTGAGGTTATCTTTCTTACAACCCATAGCATTCTTATATATTTGAAATTAAAAATAAATATTAATTAATTATATATATATATATATATATATATATATATATATATATATATATATATATATATATATATATTTATTTATATGAGGAACAATCCTTGTGTTGCATAATAAAATTCCCCTCTAGCAAATAAGTTAATATAAATAAATCTAATAAATCAGATATTATTGACAAAAATTCACCTAATATATTTATTATATAAATATAACCATATTCTGAAAATTCTACCAACATTTGTTGATTAATAACAATTGTGTAAACACTAACTTGCATAATAAAAGACAGTGTAGAAAAGGAAGAATTCTAACTAACCTTGTTCATTTTAATTTAAACACTGTTGATATATAAATCCCATTCACGAGTGGATTTATATTAATTTACTTATTGACTCGCGTTTTATCTCCCTTTGAGAATTTCTCATCACATGACAATGAGGGTCAGAATTAAGGTCATGTAATGAATAAGTAACTTAGCAAGTAAATCCACTTTTTATATTTTGTTTAATATTCTTTATTAAATGTGAACTAATCACACCAATAGACAAATATGGTTGTAAAGCTAGAGGAAATTTTCAAATTTGAATAGAAAGATTATCTGATCAGTATATTAAGCAGCTTATTAAACAATGGAACGAGATAATTATTTTCATATGTTGATGAATCAATCATTTTCATCATGATTTATTAAAAAAAAAAAAATACTGCAACAGTCAAGAGATGAGACTATTTCTTTTTTCACTGTTCATATTAAATGATTGGTATATCAACAATGATATTAGAGATTTGTTCTTGTATTGGTGCTTCTAACAGAATTGAGAAGCCTGTTCAGTTAATAAGATTTCATCATGAAAGGTATGCAGGATGGTGTTAAAATATTAACATCAATCATTTCCAGTTTCTATTGCATTTTTTCCTTTTGATTTGAAACACTGACGTTTTTTGTTGTTTTTTTAAGGTATTTAATTAAATGAATTATTTCTGAATTTCCATCATTTAATTGGCTATGTAGATTTAATGTAAATTTCATTTTTAAATATCACACACACACACAAAAGATCAATAGCACTGCATATAAAACCCGGTACTTTGCGCACTATGAGTTTTTATATATACACTTCTCATGCACTAGAAATGAAGGCCCCAAAAAATTGATGTCAGAACTCTACCTTAAACAATGTGTGTGCATGCACACACACACACATATATATATATATATATATATATATATATACACACACACAATGAAAGGTAGTTATTTTAGTATTTTTTAATTATGCCTATGAAAAGTCGGTATAATTTTCAATGACATAATTTTGATTAGTCAGACAATTATAATCAAAACTTAGATTTGGTTGAATACTTAAAATACGGTGTGCAGCAGAAATACCTCCCACATAATGGTAAGACATTAGTTAGATGAAGACACAATTACCACTAATGTTTTACCATTATGTGGGTGGTATTTCTCCCACATCCTGTATTATAGAAGTTATTAAGATACAATTTATCAAAACTCTCATTAATATTTTTAGCCATAATAATTTTGGAAAAAAAAAAAAGAATTTAATTTTTTGTCAACTAAATGTTTTTCTCTTGTGTGATGTATACACTTACAAATATGGTTGGTTATAATTTTATTTATTCATTCTCTTATTTAATTTTTTTTTTTTTTTTTGAAATCATTCATTTAATTATTTAAGCTCTGCCTCCCCATCAATTGCACACACTTATTTCTTGCTTTGAATGTCCTGTAAAAGTAATTTGTTTATTTGCCCACATGTTTTATGCATTTCAACACTTCAAACGAGCTTTACTAATAATTGGATCCATTTTAAAAAAAGAAAAGAAAAAAAGTTTACCTATTTTCGTTAAGCTGATGATCTTTATTTTCATGATGGAAGTGAAAGTCTAAAATTAGTTCTTTTACGCTCAACTTTTAAAACGAGTTATGTCCCTTGATATGTAAAAGTTTAAAACCAGTAAAATTCATTAAAAAGCGTCATTTCAATTTGTCATCAGAAAGAAAGCGAGATATATATATATATATATATATATATATATATATTATTGAAATCTATTTAGATTAGCATTAACCACAAAAGTAAAAATGTTTGAAATATAATAATGCTATTAGTAAAAAAAAAAAAAATTCTCGGTCATAAAATTAATGTTGTTTTTGCTTGCATAATTTTCTGAAATGTATCTACAGCTTTTCTTTAAGATAATGTATCAATTAAATGTTATTAAGATGAATGTATAATACCGTAAAGATTTAAAAAGCTATTTTTTAACTTACATAACTCTAAATTCTAAAATTTTAAAATATTTCAATAAAAATAAATATGAATCTATAAAGTGACTAAATATAACTGAATGTTTCATTCATGTTACATTTTAAAAGAATTTTTTTTTTTTTTTAAGTTTTGAGTATTATCAGAAAGTGAAATTATAAAGATATATGTATATATTGGTATCCATGTTTATTTTGACTATTTACTTTGAAGGAATTATTTTATATTGTTTTACTAAATACATGATCTTATGTTTATGCAAATAGCATGCAGACTTGTCATTTCAAAATAAGAAAACAATGAAGAATGTGCTTTTTTGATTGTCTCCCCTCTTAACTAACCCACTCGTATAAGTGTTTACTAATGTAGGACTTACTTACATTCTAAAATGTTTTCCACAAAAACATTGTATAATCTTCTGTTTAATTTACATTAGACTTAATTACATTTTTTTCTTTAAAAACATTGAAGATTTGCTCATTTTTATTATTTTATTTGTAAATTGGGAAGTAATGCAGCTATTTATTTATTTTTTTCTAGATAAAATGAATTAAGAACAAATGTTTATACTACTCTGCTATTCCTGAGAATAGATTGTAACTTTAGAAACCAGTAAACGAGCTGCAACAAACATACAAATAGTTAATTATTCCAATTGAGCAATATAATTAAAATCATTTAATATCTAAATTGTACTTTTTCTTCTATAAATTTAAAGAATTGCTCTGAATTTTTTTGCAGTCCATTCAAAGAAACTTCATCCGACAAACGGTCTCATCACCCACACCATCCTCACCATCCTATGTCCAAGCAGCACTATACTGATGCCTGTTCGTCTCATCCTTCACCATCTGTGGCTGGGCGCAGTACTGATTGTGATGACTATGGAGAGCTTGTGGTTCTTGGGTAATTATCAAATAAGTCACTTTGAGTTGAATTTTTAAAAAAAAATATTCCCATAAGACAAGAATCTATATATATCTTTAGCATTACATGGCATACATAAATATCCCAAACTACTTCAGTGTTATCCATCCTTCAAGACAACTGCCCTAAACATGTTTGAGAAAAACAGTTGCAATCTATTTCCTTTTTACTGCACATCCTTTTAAAACAAATATTCTCAGTATAGAAACTAAGCTGTAGAATCAATATTGAATGACTTGGTCATTTTTCAACAGACGTTACCATAAAATCTTGATAAAATTTGCATATATTTTTTTTTAATTTATATGGCGTTCTTAATTTCATGTAAAAAAAAAAAAAAAAAAAAAAAAAAAATTCTCTTTTCTTTTTCTCTCTGTGTCTTTTTTTTTCTCTCTGTGTCTTTTTTCTCTCTCTTTTTTTTCTCTCTGTGTCTTTTCCATGGAAAAAACTTTTTTTTTTTTCTCAAAATTGTTAATTTTCCCCCAAAAAAAAAAATCTAATACAAAATCATTTTGGCTTTAAATAAGTTCATTGATATTCTAAAAAAAATCCAAATTAGTCTTTTTCATTACCATTTTAGAAAATGTGATACCCTTAAAAAAGGGTATTATTCCATGGAAAAATCATTTTTTTTTTTTTTTCTCAAAAATTGTTTTTATTGCATGCAACATTCACTTGACAAAAAAAAAAAAAATTATAATAAACCCATAAAAAATATTTTGGCTTTAAATAAGTTTCAGGGGGGAACATTTTGATTAGGCAAAGTCTTCAAAAAATCCAAATTTTGACCAACACAAAACCAATTTAATTCACTAAAATTTTAGATCCTAAATACTTTTCATTACCATTTTTAGATAGTCTTTTTAATGTGATGTAGATACTACTTAACTAAAACCATCTAGAACAGGAGTGCCTAGACTCTTTCAAAGAGGGCCAGATTTGATAAATAGAATGTGTTGAATATACATGAAGGCCAAAACCATTCTGATGATGTTGGATTATGTGTATGGATTTTAGTATTCTTTTATTCCTGGCATTCTTTGAACCATTAAAATTAAATGCAAATGTATTATCTTATTGAAAATTTTTATTGAAGGCATATGGCATATTTTCATTTCTTCACATGGATGACAAACAAATTTAGAACAGGTCTTGACCAAAACTGAAGAAGAAACAGCCTGTCATATCAAAAAAAAATTGAAAAAATTTGAAACCCAAAATATAAGATGAAAATAAAATATGTTCACAAAAAATGAAGTTTCTATAAAACAAGTATATCCCACACCATTCGGGTTAATCTTAAAACATTACATATTATTGATAAATAAGGGTATGATATTTTTCTTCTTTTACCCTGTTTGGTATCTGTTATTTTTTCTAGTTATTTTATAGATTTTTATTTAAGTAAATGCTCTATCTTAATTAAACAATATTCATTTATCAGCCTTAATACTGTTTAATTAAAAAACAGGACATTTACTTAAATTATATCTATAAAAATAATGTATAAACAGAAAATATATTAAATATTTGTTGGACTTAATTCATTTCCAAATATATTTTTTACAAAAGCAATGTCTGGTTCATGAGTTAAACTCTTTGTTACAGATTAGTTTGAATTATACATATAACTTTCTTTTACTTGTTCTATCCCAAATATTTCAGTGCATGTAACTGGGGAGTGGGATGGGAGAATTTATATTTTGTTCCTAACTCTTGGTTTAAAAGTCTGGGAAAATAAAATGTATTTGACACAAATAATTACAGTATATGAGAAGCTCCACAGAATCTTGCATTTTTGTCTGTTGTCTGTATGTGAGTTTTTTCCTTTACTGAGCTTTCCTTGTGAATGTGTTCTGACTTTACACTTAATTCCAAATATTTTTGCAGGCATTCTTTACATAAACTGCCTTACTAACAATTGCTCAGTTCTTCTGTAATTTATTGGATCGATCACTTCCTGATTGATTTCCCAATAGTCGTCATGAGGCTATTTGTTGGATCACCTTTATTATTAACACTAGTTCCTTGTTTGAATTTCTTTGTTTTCTGTTCTTCAGCAAATATCAAAATAAAATTTGAGTAAGATTTTCTATTTTAATAACGGAAGATTTTTTTATGTAAAAACAGTTATGTATTTTGATAGTAGCACGTTACATGTCTCTGTAGCTTTGATTGTAACATGTGCAAACTGAAAACTTGCTTTAATCATAATACCCCCACCATAAAAATAATAGTATAAAGTGAATTTCTTAAAAAAAAAAAAAAATTTAATTTTAATTTTTTCTTTTCATTAAAAAAACTCAAATTGGAAGAATTAATTATTCATTTATTTCTCTTCAATCAAAAATAAATTTAAATGCTCAGATATGAACACTTTATTTGAAGCCTGAATCTTATGAGTAAATTTTGTAGCTTTTCCATTTTGTAAAGTTTTAAATTTTTTTATTTCAGGTACAATGGACACTTGATTAATTATGAGAAAGGTAGAAAACGAAGCAAATTTGTTCTTTTAAAGCGTGCAGCTGCCAATGGAGTTAAGCCTTACAAAAAACATGTTGTCAAGAATCCTCAGAATTCAAAAGTAAGATTAATATCTTTGCTTTTTTGAATTAATGTTAGTGTAGACATACAGCATTTTTGAAAGTCACATCTTTGTAGCAAACTGTTTAGGGAGACTGGTGTTTTAGAAATAACGCATAATGTAGAAAGACGGATTTTCCGTTTAAAATTTTCCATAATTCTGTTTCCGGGAATTCAGTTTTTTCTGTTTTCAGTATAGAATTGTGTTTTTTTTTTTCCCCTTTTCAGTATAGATTTCTGTCTTTGCTTCAATATTTAGTAAGAAAGTGTAACAATATATAAATTTTATAAAAACAAGAAAATAAAAGGAAAATGAAAAATTTTACTTGCTGGAATATCCACCTATTGGATAAGTTGCTCCAGTTTGATAGGCTTTCGTACCTCATACTTCAGCTCGTAATCTAACTTGGTGAGTTTTTGGGACAACCCTTGCAAAGAATGCTACAATTCTAAATAAGAATTAAGTGAAAATGGCAAAACTATAGAAAAGTAAAACCACAAAGTCATCTAGAAACAAAAATCTACATTGTCATTCGGTCATTTTATTGAAATTTATTAAATAAAATTTTTGAAAAAAAAAAGTCTAATTTGTAAAATTTGGCTTTCTGAAATGACAAACTCTCCCCCATCTCTGTCACCATGTAATAGAAAAAAGAAAGGATTAAGCAAAAAGACAAAATTTTTTTTTGTTACTCCTCCCACGTACACACTACCACCACTTTTTTTTTTTTAATATCTCAAGCCAAATTTGTAAAACTTGGGTTCCTATATAGTGTAATCTGTAGGGAGACAGTAGGTAAAGAGGGGATGTATTAAAACATTACTGACTTTATCCTTTGATGTCTTTTGGATGAGTGAGTTAGGAAAGGCAAACATAGTAACAAATTAAAATAGCAGTTGACAAATCTGATTACTTGAAAAAAAATATTCTGTTTCAAGCAGGCCATTCCTTTTTTCTGTTTTCACAGAAAATAAGCCCCTCTAATTATGCATATACTATTAATGATTAATTTCTGTTTTTATTTTTAATAATTTAGAAAACAAATGTCTATGCTCTTAGATAGGTACCGCCACGAAATCGCTAAAAAAAGAGCATAGCTTGATGAAAAAGACGCCAACCTTGCTGAAAACTAAATTTTATTGTCTAAATGCTTATGTTATTATTAAGAGGAAAGACCAAAGTTTTTTTTAATTAATTATTTTAAAAAATTTTCCTTCTTTTTAGAACATTCTAAATTTTGATTAAAAAAACCTTTTTTCTATTTGTATCAGCGAACTAGTAAATAACATAGACAATTTTTAGCACGTTTTTTGGTATGATACACATTAATTTGAAAAATCGTGCAAAAATAGAAATAATTATCGGATGTTAATGAAACTTTCAGGAACTATTCACAGATTATCGAAATTATTATAAATATGTTTTTTTTATGAAAGTCATGGTAGAAATATTTTTTAAAAATATTTATTACCCCCCTCCCCATAACTAATTTTATGAAAATGCTAGAAATTCGATCGCATCGGTTTTAGTGATTACAATAATTAAAAGCACAGGGCTTTGAGGAATGCAAATCATGTTTTTTTTTGTTTTTAATTGGATACGCAGTACCTGAAAATCAGCTCTGAATTGTAACATACAAAACTCAATAAAACAAAGATATTATTTAATTTCAAATGCTTTTATTTGCTTTTAGTTGTTTTTATGAATATGGACAATATTTTCTGAAAGCAAAAAAATTTTTTGATGAAAAATGAATTTTTAATACAATTATTTGTTATTTCATTAATTATAATAGATTTTACATTTAAGTTGTTAAAATATTATAAAATTAGTTAAAAAGTCAAGATCGGCTTTCATAAGTGTCCTTATGAGATAGATCTTTTTTTTTTTTAGCGCGTTGTAAATTGTATCATTTTGACTAATCAGAAGATCCCCAGTAATTAAGAAATGTAATTTTGTGCTTATAATCGAGCTGTAATTATAAAATACGGAAGACCAACCATAATATAATTAAGTTGCGTTATTTGAGTTAAGCATTGTTCTCCGCTGTTAAGGCCTTTTACTTTTTATTTAAACACGTGTGGAGAAGTTAATTTATTTTTCAATTTCAACTGAGAAGGGTACCTACAAGTATCAGTATCATCTTATGAAATTTATATGATCTTATTTTTATATTAATCTCAGTTACGACATTTTTCCATAAATGAAATATCAAAATTAATAATAAAATGAATACAAATAACAGTAGAATGTAATAAATGTACATAAAATTATAGTATTTTATAAGAAAGGTACCTATAAATTAATTAGATACCTTTCTTAAGAAATATGAAATTTAATGTCACTCTTAACAGTTTTATTTTAATTTCTTTACAATATATTTCCCATAAAGCATCATAAACGTAAAGGTGAAAGCTAAGTACAAAAAAAAAAAAAAAATTAGACCGCTGAAAGTTTTCGTTAAAAATAACGGGGTAAATAATTTGTTCACGTAAATGTAAATTATTTCACTTTTCTCCTTCCAGAGAACAAATTAGCCTCATGGAATTTGTAAATATATCATTCATCACATGTCAAGAGACGCGAAAGTTTATGACCTGCTTTGTTTTATTTTCAAATTACATCTTTTTGGCACAAAAGCTAAGTTAAGTTTGGTTCAAAATATTTTAAATAAACATTATAATTTCTGATTTTCTTAAAATAAGTTTTGAAAAAATGATAATTGATATTTAAAAAAAATTCAAAGTCAGATTTCCAGTTTTTTTTAAAATGGAAAAAAATGGTCAATTTTGCTGACTCAAAAAAAAAAACTAGATTTTTAACGAAAATTTTGGACGTGCTAGGAACGATTAAAAAATGGAAAAAAATACCCCAAAAATACTTTGACCTTTCCTCTTAATAATAACAAACATTTAGACGATAAAATTTTGTTTTCGTCAAGTTTGGCGTCTTTTTCATCATGCTATGCTCTTTTTTTAGCGATCTCATGGAGGTACCTACTCTGAGACATCATAATAAATTTTATTTAATTTTGTTTGTTACAAGGCTGTCCAGGACTCTGCCTTACACTCCGTGTCCTACACTATGTCCAGAAACCAAGCCGTTGTTGTGGAGTACAAATCGGACCCTGACACTGATATGTTCCAGGTAATATCTGTTATTTGTTAATAAAATATATGTTACGCACCCACATAAACACCTGTCAATAGGTGTTTAGTAGTTTTATTTTTTCTATGGTATGGAACTCTATTCGTCATTAGTCCTGGGTATGGTAATAAATTACATCCAGCAGCTAGGCTTCTGATTGAGAGATTGGATATTAACCTCTTAATTGCTGCTGTTCCCACCTTGAGCCGAAGTGGTAGCACCTGTTAAGGTCCCAGCAATGGGTAAATAGTAAACACCTCAAACAAAAACGAGACAGTATGAAAGTATAAAATACATTTTTATAATAATACCAGCAATACATACCAAATGATGCATATTCATAGTAAAATTACCGACAATACATTTTATCTGTAGCTAAAGGTATATTGCGATTTTGGCGTTAAATAACCCATATGGGGTGTTGATATGCAAAATCAACCAAACAACCAGCACAAAAGAATTCTTTCAGATCATTAATCCATATAATATCATACAATTTCTTAAAGAAATCAAACTATATTCTAAAATATAACTTCAACTACAACATAAAACACATATCACTGCCTCTAGGAATTATGTCCACACAAACATGTCTATAATGTTGATGTCAACTGATGAAAAAATGTCAATTTTATTTATGAGAAATTAAATAAATTTTTTTCAACAGCTGATTCACACCAATATTTGATGTACATGGTCATTTAGACAGACATCTTTCTAAAGCCAGCCTCATATTCTTTTATCATTATCGACTTTACAAATGTTAACTCTTAATTTCCTGTGCCTCTTCTGCCTAATCTTTCATTGCAGGTATTTTCCACTGTTTTCATTAATGACAGTTAATGATTTTCATTTGTGACATCTGTGACTTCTGAAAAGTTAACTGAAATCCTCTTAGTGACTGGCATTCATGACAGATGAAAGTAAGTTCTGTGTTAGACATCATTATTCTTTCCTTTTGTATTTTTCTATAGATTGGTAGATCTGGAGAATCACCAATTGATTTTATTGTCATGGACACCGTGCCTGCTAATCAAAGGCGATATAGTGAGGAATTTACTCAGAGTACGATTTCTCGATTTGCTTGTCGGATCTTAGTGGAAAGGAACCCACCGTATACAGCGAGGATTTTTGCTGCTGGTTTTGATGGAGCACGTAACATATTTCTTGGTGTAAGTTTTTTTTTTTTTTGTTTTGTTTTGTTTTTTTTTGTTTTGTTTTGTTTTGTTTTTGCTGAGCATTACTTCTAATAATTGATTATTACTGAAGTTTTAGTCTTTTTAGTCAGAGCCTATGAAAGGCGATACATCTTCTTTGTGAACATTTAGAAACCAGACTTTAAAAAGAAAAATCAGTTTTCTCAAGTTAAAAATATTATCTGAATATATTCTTAATCCATATTTGGTGCCATTCATCTTTTCTTTCAAGGTCAAACAAATATTTTCTACAGTTTTAATATCCCTATCATTTTTATCTTTTCAATTCTATTATTATTCAATATAAAATTATGCATATAAAGTTATTTTCAATTTTTACATTCAATTTATTCAGTTTTGTATTATTTTTCAATCTTCTTCCTAATGTTATTTGGCTGGCTACTCATTTTTCAGTATACCTGTCTGCTAAGGTGACTATCTAGTCCTTATTGCAGACATCTGTTAAGGTAAATTTGTTTCTTCTAAGAGCCAACTTATGGTTTATACTGCATCTATGCTAAGTGGAGCTTAGTTACCATTTCTGGGAGACCACATAATCTGGTGTGATTGCCAGTTTGAATAAGGCCAGCACGCTCAAACTCTCAGTCACAATGACTTGTGACTTTGTGGTAGCACAACCATCAATGGTTTCTGAACAGTTTCATCTACTTGTGCTAAGGTTTTCAGGTACTTCCAAACAGTGCTGCACACTGGGATCGTCTCCTCAGGATGATATTGAGAGATCCCCTTTTTCTCAAAGTGACCATGGTGAGATTTGAACCCATATCTCATAGTCAGAATACTAATGTTGTAACCACTTGTCCCACTCCTAAGGTCATAAGCTTAAGCCATCTAGCCAACACTGGATAGTTATCTCTCTCATAAGTGGCCTCTTTTTATAACAGCTTTTCATACCAGTAAACCCTTCTTAAAGTTGAATGCCAAATTAGTATGCCTAAGTAATGTCATATTCACTTGGGTGTAACATTTTTCTAAAGTAAACAGATACTCTGATCCTTGAAAGAATTGATAATATATCCATAAATAAACCCCTCATTTTTTTGAGTACTAATTGACTTTAGTCTTGGGTATGATAAGCTACATCTGGCAGCAAGGCCTCTGATCAGGAGATTGGAAGTTTTAAGGAGTGTGGAACCACCTCTTGTTCCCAGATCCACCCTGACCCTGGGGTGGTAATACCTGCTAGGGTCCCAGCTATGGGCAACTAGTGAACCCCCAAGCAAAAACAAAATACTATGAACGTATAAAAATACATTTTTGTAGTAAAAATCCCAGCAATGATCGACAATATATATTTATAGCAAAATGACCCAATACGTCTTTTGTAGTTGAAGGCATACAATTGCGTTAAAAATACATTTAGTTGAAGCCATCAAATTGTATTTGAAATATTTAGATTTCAGCATTAAATGACCCATGGAGGTTGATATGCTGCTAAACAAAATCCACCAATAAACTAATTGACTTTTTTGTGTCTGAACTTAGATTTGTTTCTGAAAAAAATCTTAAAAACAATTTTTTTTTTAATTTTTTTTTTTTTTTTTTTTTTAGCACACACAGTGAGTTGAATGAACTTAGTTATTGAATAGGATTGATACCCAGTATTTTTGGCAAATTATATTGCTTACTAGACTTTTTGTTGGGGTATTTGATGATTGAACAATTACTAATGGTAGCAATGTTGAAAACATTGATTTATTTATGAAAATTAAAAGCAGTACTGCCAATCAGGAGCCCAAAGGGGTGGGAGTCCATAAAAAAAAAAAAAAAAAAAACGGCAGTCACTTCATAGGAATTATGAATGTTTTCCTTTGGAACAAAGTTATTGCTCATACAAAAACGGCACTTATAATTATCTTTCTATTTTTCCATTCTGCTCTGAGGTTAAGTATCAACTTTTTATATATCAGTTAGACACTCTTTTACACTACTTTTTGTAGGATTTAATTATTGACAAAGTTTAGAACTTTGGAGTCTCTGATCAAGGTTTCAAACAGATTTTTTATTTATTTTTTTTTATTTTAAATGTCTTTTAGATTTATTCTTATGTATTACACATTTTATTTATTTTTTTAAATAACCTTTTCTATAGGAAAAAGCTGTCAAATGGCATTCTGGAGAAGAAATAGATGGGTTAACTACCAATGGTGTTTTTATAATGAGTCCAACTGATGGATTCACACCCGCTTCTAAACCTGGCACTTGGTATGAGGTCTCGGTTGGTGGTGGCATTTATACTGCCAGAAACTCAAGGGCAGATCCTTTGAAAAGTCATCAGGTAATTTGGAATTTTTTTTTTTTGTTTTGTTTTGTTTTTTTTAAAGAGCTCATTAGAGACTCTAATGTGTAATTGGTATTCATATTTAAATTAACTAGCCATGAAAATTTAATCATTTTCATATTTTAATTTTCTGATGAATCCTAATTAGTAATTTAACAATTGAATACTCATTGCGAGTTACCATGACTATAAAATACTCATGGAAATTATTCTGTTGCAGTGTTAAATATTTGTGGCAAACACATGTCAGTACAGACGCAAAAGAGGCATCGGATCGCATGCGGACATTTTTTGCGAACACCAATCACTCCGGGTTATTCCCATTAACAGCGAGACAGTTTGGCATGTCTAGATATAGGCCTCTCTGCAACTGGTCAAGATCCGGGTCTTTGTAAGATGCCTCATGTCAATAATAGCAGGGGGAAAAACCAGCAGTTGGCAAGACACGGTGTCTTGTGAAGTCAGTCCCCTGGGCATTTTTGTTCCTCAAGTTGCTGTGGTTTCTGAGGCAGTGTTATTTTTGTTACCTCCTGTGTCTTTTCCTTCTCTGCCTATTACCCCTGTAATTGTTGGGAGAGCAATTGGTTAAGTGTTTACCCGCAACCTCAACACACTCTTGCTGTACCTTACAACAATATTCGATCTCAGTCTTTCCTTTCTTTTATTTTATTTTATTTTTTTTATTATGTATGCTTTCTTTTTCTCACAAAAACTAAACTGTGTCTCTCTTTTCTTTTTTTTTCTGTTTCCTTCACAATCAAAGCAGAATGGTCCATTATTTAACTGAGGTAATGGCATGGCATGACACACATGAGGAACAAGCAGAATTATCTGAAATTATCAGATAAAATTGTATTTTCCTAAATATTCCTTGAATTATTTTTTGAAATGACCCATCATTATTCCTGGAGTTGTTTGAATTAACATTCTTATCCTTGTTGGCTTTTAGCATTGTTGCATTGAAGAAGACAATAGAATGCATCAAAGTTGAGACATAAATAAACTTTCATAAATGTCTTTGTCTACTGTTGAATTCTGAATATAACCAGAGATAATGTCAAGTGCATAATTGAAAGTGTTGCAGGATCATTTTGAAATGTACTATAGCTAAGTCCCTTACATTAAGCATGTTGTAGGAATTGCTTTTTGATTGAAGCTGTTAGATCTACAGCTAATTGCCTTTAAATCAGCAGTAGGAGGCTTGGTACCCCTGACTGATTAAAAGTGGTTTAATCCCAAAGCTGTATTTAAGCTCTGCCAGATTCTCCTCTGTCAGTTTTGTATCAGGTGAAGCCTTGTTACTTTGAAAAAGAAATTGCTATTGTTATTCTCTTTAGGATTTTGTATCTGCTCTTACAGAAGCAATCAGAAGTTAAAATATTATTTGTTATTTGAATTAAACGAGGCAGGCTGTTTGCAGCTTGTGTTTTTTAAACTTTCATAAAAATTTATTTTTCAAAAGAATCCATTTCCTACAGCAACTTTGATCAGCAATCTATTGATGACTTGCAATGTGGACATGTATTTTAAAGGAAAAATGCTCTATTGTAAAGAATACAAAATAAAACTGTTCGGAAGTACAATTATAATCAGTTTTTTTTTTTTTGTTTTTTTAAGGAGAATTGGAATTTCTGGTAAAAATACTTTTGAATTCTTCCTTGTCTGCTAAATATAATTTCGTATACCAAGGAACAATTGCAAATAATTTTATTTTAATATTTAAATCTTAATACATCAGTGATTAATATTTAGTTCTAATTAACAGTTAAAATCAATATTATGTGATCAATGACATGCAGATGTTTGATGCCTGGGGCCAGCTCCTTGATTGTATGTCCCTAAGACTTCAATCGGGTGGGGGCATAAGACCTCATACTGAGAAATGTGAGAAAGGAAAATATTTTAAATATATAAAAACAGATGAAACATGAAATAAACACTTTATTCAAATTAAATATAAACTAAATTTTTATTTCACTCTTTGATTGGATGCCCTCCCAATATGGATACCCTGGGTTGTTGCACCCTCTGCCCCCCACTTCTGCAAGCTACAGTATCTAAATGATTGTGTTCAAAATATTTAGATTTTGGCATTAAGTAACCAATAGTGGATGATATGCCACTAAATAAATTTAAACAACCAACATGAAAGAACTCTTTCATGGCATTAATCCATATAATGTACAATTTCTTAAAGAAATCAAACTGTATTCCAAAATTTAACTTCTGCAAAACTACAAAATTAAACACACACATAATTGCCTCTTGTAATTATTTTCACACAAATATGTATATGCATAAATTCTGTGTATCATCTACCATGAATTCAGTTGTGAAAGCAGAATAACATCATATTTTTATTATTTCATAGCTTCCAAGAAAATTAAATTTTGGCATTAAATGACCCATGAGGAGTTGAACAAACAAATCAAATCTAGTCACCCTACAATATCTAAAAAGTGTTTACCACTGAAACTTTGAAACTTTCTAGATTTAAACTTTATTTATATCTGGTCTTTAACAGTTTTATAAAGAGAGAACACTGAACTTCAAATGATTTTGCAACTCCTATATTTGATGGTATATAAGAATTGTTGTTTCCAATCCTACTGGGAAAATACTTGCTCCTCCCTAATTTATAGGCAGAAGCACACAAATGCATGCTGGGATTTCTTCCTATCCAATAAAATAGGCCAGTTCTTGGTTTCATCTGACTCTGTCTTGTCTTGAAGTCAAAACGCTATGTTCGCTTGTTCGAACTTGCTCTTGTGTGTCAACCCCAATTCTTAGTTTGTGAACTTTTTGCCATATTACTGTTGCTTTGCCTTGCATATATTGTTTGCTTGCTTTATATTATCTTTTGCCCTGTTCTTTTCTTGTTATTGCTTATTGCAAACTTTGTCAATTCTATTTGTTGGACAGTTCTGTCATTTATTTTACAATTAACCATGGCCACTCACTCTACAAGAATCATCTGTTATTTACAGTTGATATTATAGGTTAGGTACAAGTAATGATAGTCTATGACACTTTGATAAACATTGGCTTAACAAACACTTTGCAAATGAAATCTAAGATTTTTTTGTCGGGTAGGTCTTGTATACCATCAAATGTTGTTTAGAGGCAGTTTAGTAATCGAGTGTATCTCTTCAGGCATTGGTTGATCAATTTAGGAAATCATAAATCATAAACTGTTAAAATTGTTGGTGTTCAGCTTGTCTTTGTTTATTTTCATTGATTGAAATGCTGTTGCTCTTTTCTTGCAGATGCTGAATGCTGACAATGTCCTTCACGATGGAACACTCATTGATTTATGTGGAGTCACATTATTGTGGCGATCTGCTTCAGGCTTGCATGCCTCACCAGTAAGTAAATAAACACATTAGTCTATGCACATTTTTAAATAATTTTATTTTTTTCTTGGCCCATCTCTATATGATAGGGAACTGAATAACTTTATACTAAAATCTTCATTTTTTGTATTTTAAATTGTACTACTGTAATATTTCTGTATCTGCCAAAAAATTAGGTATCTTTTAATTCCTACTGAATGCTTTTTTGTTATTCTCAGAATGAACAGGAGTTCAATAACTTGGTTGAAGGAATCAATGCCTGCCGTCCACAGTGTCCTGTTGGTTTGACTACACTGGTTCTCCCCAGTAAGTCTCATGCTAGCCCTGGTCTCGATAAACAGCCTTTTGTTTATATAAAATGTGGTCATGTGCATGGGAGACATACTTGGGGACAGAAAGATGATGATGATGACAAAAGGACCTGTCCTCTTTGTTTGAAAGTAAGTAACATGTACATTTATCTGCTTAGGAAAATTTGTATGTTGTTTTATCCCTAGTAACAAAATCAAGAACCATAATCCATATTTTAAAATCGTTTTTCAAAATCTTATTTTAATTGATATCAAATCTCTGAAAAAAATGCTTTGTTCAAATTATGAAAAAAATAACTTTAAAAGAATTCATTTTGTCATGTGAGAGTTGTTAAAAAAAAAAAAAAAAAAAAAAAAAAAATAATGCCTTCTTTTGGGTTGTAAAAGTATTATTTTATTTTTTTTCATTTTGCAATGCTGTGTGTGTTTTGTTTATTTATTTTTTTTATATTTTATTTTATTTTTTTTTTTACTATTAAATATGTTGTGATTAAAGAACAGTTATTACTTTTTGACTGACCCCCATACTTTATCAAAAGTGATTGTTAATCATTGTATTTAGAGCAGTGGTTCCCAACCTTTTTTAGGCCACTTAAAATCCCCCCCCACACACACACACCATAATTCTTATTATTCAAAAAGTGAACTCCTGCATGGAGAAAGCCAAAAAGACATTAACTTGATCTAAACAAACTTTCAAAAAACATGGCATCCATGAAAGACAAAAATAAAAGAATGGAAGGACGCTTAAAGTACTGAGGAAGAAATTATTAAGAAATTGTTATAAAAAATAATATTATATACAGTACATGCATAATTACACATATGCATACACACACACAAATATTTTCATGTATGCATACTGTATATGCCCTGTGTATACACTCACTATGCAGACTTGCTAGAGTAAAATTCACTGTTAATAACTCATTGTCGAATTGCCTACCTTAAAAATTAAATTTGACCCCACCCACCACGGGTCATGTGTCACATTGGAAACCATAGATTTAGAGATAATTGCTTGTTTATAATTGTCTATGATTTGGTTGTTTGTTTACTAACAGTTTAATCCTTTTACAAAATTATCTTCCTTAGTCTATTGTACTTGGGTTGGATGGAGGAATGAAGGAAACATTGTAGTTGCAAGAAATTTGGCAAAACTTTTGCTAAACTACTTTTGCGTCAGTGTAAACAGTGGAGCAGGTTTGCTTACTGCATAGATTCAGTTCTTGTTTGATTGATAATTCTTTCATAACTTTTTGGAAATCCATTGTTAATAAATAGAAATGCTTTTTAAAAGATTTCTTTTAATTTTTTGTATAAATATTTTTACATCTGCCATTGCATTAAAATATACATTTGCACACACAAACGTACATACACACAATTTGAATGAAACTGAAATAGACATTTGCGTCACAAGGGCTAATTTCCTTTTCTGTCTGGTGACAACATCTTTGATGTCATTTTTATGAATTTGTCTCCATTTAAACTAAATATACTTTCTAATAAATTTAATGTTTTAAATGGACAACCAATTTAGATTTGAAATATAATAATCTTGCTGACAATGAAGCAACAGGTACCAAACTATTTCGATACAAAATTGCAATACTAATTCTGATATTAAGGAAGATACTGTCTTGAAAATCTTTTCTTTGCACAAAAAAGGCTATAATGTGAACTCTTATTAAATACATTTTTAATCCAGTAAAAAGGTGATATTTTTAATCATTTCTTTTTCCCAAATCTACAAGAAAGTTGAAAGAGAATTATCTATATAATATTATATAGTTATTATTATTATTATTATTATATATTCTTGTGTAGTGATTTGGTTTAGTCTAGTACAGAGTATTCGATGATCAAAATTGCTCCATTAGTAAACTGTCTGAGCAACTGATTTGTTGGCTATCACTCTGCAATGGTAACATTAATTGTTTACTAAGATTTAGTCAGAACTATGAATTAAGAGTGTTATCTTTTTAGTGCTAATTCTGATTTATTTTTTATAAGACTGCATATTGTTTTATGTTAAAGGTAGATAACTTTTTTAATTTCAAATGCTGAACCATCCTGGGTATGACGATAAACTACATCCATGTCCTGGGTAAGATGATAAACTACGTTCAACAACAAGGCCTCTGATTAGGAGGTATTGAGGAGCGTGGAACCACCTCTTAATTGTTGATGTTCCTTGAGTGGTAGCACCTGTTAAGATCCCAGCTATGTGTAAATAATTAACCACCAAACTGGGGTCAAAACACTATGAAAGTGTAAAAATGGGTTTTAATCCCAGAAATACTTTGTAAAAATATTATTACCAGCTATACATTTTTGGTAAAAATAATATCAATAATACAATAATCTTGTCGGGATTAAATAATAATCCATTGAGGTTGATATGCTGTAAAACAAACCCAACCAACCAAACCAAATATTGAAGATGCTAACTTAGCATATATACTCATATATCCTGCTACTTTTGAAGCCCTAATTCTGAAGCTAATCTGGCTATGCCATTGACAAAACTATATAATCCATTTAGTGTATTCAAAAAGTACAGCTGTATTTAAAATAAACATGATTTTGATAAAACTGATGTTTACTTAACTGTATCCAATAATAATGCATGTCATATTCACATATTAGTATTGTATTATAAAATACAAACATAGTGAATATACATCTTTTCTATTTTTTATGTTTATAAGATGTTTAGTTTTCCAAAGCATTACTAACAATACTTTTATAATTCTCTTACTTCCTTCAACTTATTTAACTAGAAGATGTGATAGAGGAAAAGAGGTAATTTGGTCTCTCAAAAAAGGAACTCACATGATACACAAGATAAATGATAAAATCATTTTTATAAGTGAAAATTTGAGGTTTGCACAATATGTGAGATTGCGTGTTACACTAGTATGTAGGGTAGTTAATTTTTATATTTGCTTGCCTGTTAGTATTATTACTACTCCTTATCAGAAATAAATGAGGTACAATTAGAATTTTTAAGGAATATCTAATTTGGCCCATAAACAAAAGAATGAATATCTGACTATTGAAACATTTCATGTGAAGGTCATTGAAAGTAAAGACTAAATTTCCAAATGCTATCCATATGAGTTTAAAATATGAAATTTTATCACACATTTACAGAAGTGTAATGCAGTTTATTCTAGAATCTTATTCTGTATCTATGTTGTGCTTTTTAATAAGAAAATTCATTTTAAAGAGGGGCAAAAAATAACGTGTACTTTTTTTAATATACAGAGTCCTCTCCAAAATTGTATACACACTTCAGGAAAGGAAAAACTTGTCTTTCATAGTTTTATAAAATTGTGATAACACTGTTTATTGTAGTACAATATTTTCTCGACATATGGCATTACATTGGTGGCCCTTAGGCTAGAAATTGAAAAAATATGTGCAGCAATCCCACTGGACACTTTGGCCAACATTGCTCAAGAGGTAGTTTGCCATACTAATAAATGTCTTGAAGCTAAAGGCTACCATTTTGAACATGTCTTGTGATTGTGTAGAGTCTAAAGTTAACTTTTATTACTTTCATGATGTCTGGGTAAATTTAGTATTACAATATATATACAAGTTTTTTTCTTTCCTGAAGTGTGTATACATTTTTTTTTTTTTTTTTTTTTGGCAGAGTCTGTATATATAAAAAATTGGTGTGATTTCTATCAGCTGGTTTATTTGATTTCAGGAAAGTCCTTTTATCAAATTGGAAATTGGTTTTGAACTGAGCTTTTATGTTGATGCTGGCCCTCCTACTTACTGCTTCAGCCCATGTGGACATATGGCATCAGAAAACACAGTCAAGTAAGCATCAAAGCAAACCTTACTCACCTTTTATTCTTTTCTTTGGATAAATTTTGCCTGAAATATTTTTGAAATCTTCAGATTTTTTTCTTTCTTTTCAAGTGTAACATTAAAGATTTAAAAAAAAAAATTCTCCTTTCATTGCAGATATTGGGCTGAAGTTTTGATTCCACACGCTTCCAATGAATTTCATGCCATCTGTCCATTTTGTGCAATTCCTTTGGACAATCCTGGATATGTAAAATTAATATTTCAAGACCAAGACCAGGAATTGTGAGAATCTTTTCAATGTAACCTGTTCTTTTTTGGCTGTGGATAGCTAACATTAAATGTTAGATTTGCTGCATTTTGCATTCTCCTTTGAATGGGTTGACTGCTTCTGCTGACCGGACAGTTAATGTAACAAGACGTGTATGTTTGAGATCTTGTTGCAACCAAAAACAAATGCACAGGATTTATTCACTGGAGGATCTTCATTGACGACTACACTTTTATCACTTGATGCTGTTAGCTGTGCAACGGCCGGTTTACTTGTCTAAAAAAGATTAAAAAAAATCGAAAAGATAAAAAAAACATATGTCTCGACAATTTTAAAAAAAAGGAATATTGACCTTATTTCATGAGTTTCCGAACTAGAAATCTCATGCTGAAATATTTTCACTTTTTCATCCTTAGTCTGTATCAACTACACACTCCATATTGGACAAAAGTCTCTTCAGTTTGTTCCAGGGACACATTTGTACAGTTGGCGGATTGCTTCTCTCCCTTTGATTTCCAATTGTGTTTATAAATACTCTTCCCTAACAGAAGGAACAGACCTTGAACAAGCAAGAATTGTCAATCAAATATGCCATACTTATGCAACCTTTAAGTCTTACAAGAAAACAAATGTGAAAACATTTAAAAAAAAAAAAATAATAAATAAAAAAAAAAAAAATAAAGAAGTTTTTTATTGAAATTTTTTTTTTTTTTTTTTTTTCTTTAACTCAACTCTGGCAAAACATTTCTTTTTGCATGCACACATTTACATATTCTCAATTCTGTACAAGGTTTGGGAAAAAAATGAAAATTTTCAAAATGTTAAATCTGCTGCTTTAAAACAGTACTACTATAATAATAATAATAATAATAAAAAAAACAGTGGGTATTTTTTATTGTCTAATAAGTAATAAATAAAATTACTGAATTTAAAAGTCTTTTCTTTTATGACCCGCATTAACTGACATAACTATGTGCCTCTTTCGTGCAGCCTACAGTTTTGTCTTGTTTACTTTAACATTTTTGTTTCTTTCGGTAGAATCAACTGTTAGATTTACAATCAATGCATTTTGTCAAAATTGCTATGATACAATCATCTTTTGTGGATAATACACACCAAGAATTTTCTTCAAAACATACACTAAAATTCTGAAAAGTTTTAAGAATTTTTAAAGTGTTTTGTTTTTTTTCCTCATGTATATAGACAAATAAACATACTTTTCCTTTTTTATTTCCTTATTATTTTATTTATTTAATATCAACAATCCAGATGTGACTGAACTCTCCATATTAATGAAAAGGTCTTGCAGGAATTATCTTGCTAGCCATTGCTCTGTCAGGTGCCCAGAGATACAATTGACTTAGTTTAGCATAGAGCTATTTAAAAAGGATGGAAAAGTTGCACCGATCTTACAGATAGTAGGAAACTGCCTCCTTTGAAAAATCAACATTTTAAATCATGGTTTCCTGCTTGTTTACAACCATATCATGTTGAAACACTGGTTCTCCTTCATTCACCAAAGTTAAGCAATGTTCAGGCTAGTACTCGGATGGGTGACCATTGGGGAATACCAGGGGCTGTAAGCTAGGCGACAGATCTAGCAAGCCGATGATGGATAAAATTTTGCTACTTATACTAACAGAAGACCTTGATTATATGGAGGTGCTTCTGGACTGACAGACTTACCTGGAGTTGGGTGAAGGAGAGTGCTTTTGGCTTGTCTTGATCACCAAGCATTGGTGCTGTTGGGAAACTTACAACTACCTCAACCACTATGCAGGTCCATAATCATCTTTCCTAAATTTATTCATGGTAATATTATCATTAATCTGATAATTTATGATTATTTTTTTTGTGGGTTTCATATAGATTCTCTATGAGTGATAAAAGACATTTAAGTAACTGAATATAAGTTTTTTTCTTTTTCTTTTTTTTTTTTTTAGTTGGACATGAGCTGCTACAATATAGAAACATTTATCTTTCTGTCTTAGTGTAACTAGTCTCTTTTATTTACTTATCTTTGCTCCCTATCTTCAAATAGGAATGTTGTCTAGACATTTTGACATATTTTTATTTTAGACTTTGCTGAATTTCAATTTTGGAATATAATTTTGAAAGCAAATATTCTTTTTTTGCCATGTCTTTTTCATTGTTACTTTTTTTTCAGCTTCTTATAAACTGTTTAAAAAAAAAAAAAAAGACAAAAAAAAACAGAAAAAAACGTAAGTCTTCCTGTGATTTTCTTTATTATTATTAATATTTTATGAAGCTATATAAACATTTTATTATATAAATTGCTTGTTGAATGGTAAATGTTCACTTCTGTCTACTGTACACGAGAAAAATGTCCAGTGATTTGATGGCAAGACTCAATATCTATGTTTTATGGTAATAAATATATTTGGAGCTGGAGACAGAAATGAATGTTCGAAGCAGTTGTTTTTTTTGTTTTTTTTTTTTCTTGCCAGGCATTCACTTTTGCACCAGCTTCAGAATTGATATCAAAGAACAAAACTTGCAATGTAATGATTTGGATTAAACACGAAAATGCTTTGTTATTACTATTCTTGATAATCAAGAATTATTTGGGTAAATCTTGGGCATGAAATTATTCTCATGTCTTCTACAGGATTTTTAATCTGTCAGTAGATGATTTTGAAATTGTTTCTTTGTTACCCTCTCCTCTGGTAAAACCATGCATAACTTCAACATTTGAATAAATGAACTTAAAATAACTTATTTCCTAAAGGTATTACTGTTTTGCAGTGATTCATGTTGTCTCAATAGGTATTAAAAATTGTTTGATCTCAACAAACATAGAATATTTTAAATGCAGCTATTTTTAGTTAAATCAATGTCTTTAGTATTAAAACCACAATTCATATGCTTCAGGCTATAGTCGGTGGGTGAAAATTGGAGAGATCATATTTCCTTTTCTTTTTCTTCTTTTTTTTTTCTTTTTTTTTTTTTTTTACAGTGATGTTCAACCTGTACAAGGCTCAAGAGCCACTCGAGGTAGAGAGTTACAGAGGCACAGTTTATGCAGATATGTGCAGAAGATAATGGTTAACTCTAGACCTGAACAGATAAAGATTATAGTGATTGGGGAAAGCATCCTTTTGGGAGTCAATTCTGCAAAGTAGCTGTTTATGGGAAGTAACTACTCTAGTGGAACTTGCATTTCTCAAAGGATGGTTCAGTACAAATGGCATGGTGGGTCTTAGCTGTGAAGGTTAGAACTGGTGGGACTAAGGAATGTAGTTTGAACACTTTCCATTGCAATAGTGATAATAGCTTTACTCTAGTTGCTCTGAAACACAAGGGGTTACTGGATGTGACAATATTAGAAAACAGAAACATTACTCATCTATTCTTGCTCCTTAGTAATCAAGAAGACAGTAAATAGTGAGTGGCATTGCAATTCAATTTTTGAAGATAAAAGTTGACTGGAAATCATGGAGCCAGAAGGGAGTTCCACAAGTGAGAAGTGCGAGAAAAGAAACTATTAACATAAGACTTAAGATTACATCTAGCCAACTCAGCTGTAAATTGATGAGACCTCATTGCCAGTACAGTATTGTTCTTAAATTCATAGTTTAGGTACCATAGTGAAGAGCTCATCTGAACAATTCCCATAAAAGTATTTATAGAAAAGACACAAGGAAACAGCTTTACAGCAGCAGGAAAGTGACTTAAGCCGGGATGCCATGTCAGGACCAATATTATTGCTGATTCTTTAAATTTTATCAAGAACTAGCAGACTTTGTTCACTCACTATTGCTTTGCAAAGTAAGATATATTCACTACTTGAAATCTTTGAAAAAAAATTTAAATGAAGAATTTATTCATAAATTGGCTTGTTATAGTTAAGGAAAGATTTACAAATAGATGCCAACTTGTTGGGGGCCAAGTAAAATGCAAATTTTAAACACTTTTCTGCCCTATATAAGATGATATTCCTAAACAAAACTATTTTTGATATGAAAATCAAAACAATCCTTGAATAAAAGAATAGTATGAATGACAGTTAATGAAATAAACTTTTTTAAAATCATTATGCAAATTAGTTAAACCTAAAGAGTGATTTTGCCTAGAAGCAGATAATATATAATACAGATATTAAGATTTAGTGTATAAATTACTATAAGTAATTTGTACACATTACTTATCTCTCAGTTGCATCTCTGTCTTTGGACAGTGTGCTCAGGGGCTTCTCTATCAAAGGACAGAGGGGCAACTGAGAAAATTATACTGAAGAGGTGCCCGGCCCTGGGGAACAGCTGCACCCTCCCATTTCATGAGAGGGAGAGATCGGTGCTCGCACCGAGGCCAGTGCAACCGACGGTTGTGGGGGCTGTGGGGAATTTTTGTCCCTGCCCGAGTGTACGCGCTTGAGTCCCCACATTAAAAAGACCTTGTGTCATATCTCATTCTCATGGGGGAATTGAGTAAACACCGTATAAATTACTATAAAGTAGTTTGTAACATGTTTATCATCTCTCAGCTATGTCTCTGGGCCGAGTCCGCTCAGGAGTGACTCTGTCAAAGGACAGTGCTGCAACTGAGGAAAATTATACTGGGAGATGCTGGCCCTGGGAAACAGCTGCCTGAGGCCATGCCCTCTCATTGCACTAGAGAGAGGGTTCGGTGCTTTCACTAAGGCCAAGCACAACCAACAGTTACAGGGGCTCAGGGAATTTTTCTTCCTAGCCCGGGTGTACACACTCGGGTTTCCCACACAAACTGATCTTGTGTCACAATGTGATTCTGGGGGGAGGGGGTCGAGTAAATACCAAATTACTATAAAGTAATGCTGGAGCTTTTTAATCTCAGACTTCATGGGAGAATTGAGCTCCAGTTTTGCATTTATTCATATAGATTCCATAATATAGGTTTTACTTAATTATTATGTTTCTCTAACTCTTCAAATGTTGAATGTATAACTAATTCTAATTTCTATTTTCCCATCTTTACACTATATTAATTTTCTTATAAATTGCCCCACTGTTCTGTCACCCATGAAATAAAAATAATTGTATGGAAAATAAGGATCTACATACATCAAATCGTCTTTAAATTAAGTGGCAGCAGAAGAATTCTCATTGAACTTTTAAAAGGTAAGCTTAAACATTAATTCAATACTTAAATACAGCAATTAATTTTGAGTTCTTCTGTAGTTTATTGATGCCTATCGCATCTACTCCTGCCTAGCTATTGTGATGATGGCCAAACCAAGAATCCTCCACAGGAGCTAACTTAAATGCCACCCAATAGGGCAGCTTTTAAGCTAGTTTATAATAAAATGTGCACTGCAATTTTGGATACAAAAGGAAAATAAGAATTAATCCCCTTGAACCATGAAAGCAACAATAATGGCTAGTATAATGTATTAATATGTATTTTTAACCTTGCATAATCTGGCAACCCTGACTCTGGCCACAATGAAAGTCACTACCTGCCCCTAACTTTTCTAGGGATTTTGAATGAGCTATAAATCATTGAAACCGGACCAGTGGGAGTGGAGGTGTTGCTTGGGGACAAACATATACACTGTATTTTATATATAAAGATCTAAATATATAGCAGGAACACTGGACCATATGTGGCAGCAATATTCTAAGCATCTATGAATGGTAGACTTAAAGATATTCTGGAGAGAAAATTGTCTAGCTTGACACAGTGAATCAACTTTCTTAGCAACTGACTTGGCATTCAATATAGTCTGTCCACTTCATGTCAGCCAAGAAGGTGCAACGAGTCACTCTCTCCTAGAGGTTAGCATTAGCCATCCTGATGGAAGGCAGAAAGGAGTTTCTCAGATAATTAATAGAGTAGTTTTAGTTTTGGGGCATTAAAATTAACAAGCCATTCTTTGTTCCAGTTAACAGACTGAAGGTCATTTTTGACATTAGCTGCCAATTTGATGTTATTTAATTGATCAGACTTACTATTGAGACAGGAGTAAATGGCTGTATCATCAGCATAGATACCAAGTTGAGAGCTGATGCCATTGGGAAGGTTGTTAATGAAAATTAAAAACAAAGATAGAACTCTGTGAGACACCTGCATTTGTACAAAAGGATCTAGAAGGATGGTCATTTCATGATTTGGTAAGAAAGGCTGAATCCATTCCAAAATTTTTTATGGAGACACCATAACTTTTCAATTTGTGAAGAAGGCCTATATGCTAAATCCTGTCAAACACTTTCGAGATGTCCAAAGCCTGAGCTTCACCATTCTTATCTAAAGCTTGATAGACTCTTTCTGTAATGATCATCAATCCATCAGCAGTTGACCTAGAGAATCAAAGCCATATTGCTTGTCTGAAAGAAGGCCCTGGGATGTGAGATAGTTAATCAAGTCAGTGTTAATTAGGGCATTTATTAGTTTGCCCAAATCTGGTAGAAGGCCAATAGACTGATAGTTGGAAGGGTCAGATGGTTCACATAATTTCTTAGACTGGAACAACAGATGAGGATTTCTAACAAGCAAAAGGCAGCAAGGCATGTATTATACAGTTTAGAGAGAACAGGAGCCAGTTCTGAAGCACACTTAAGTAGTATTATTGGAATACCATCAGGTCT